TATTGTTTAACAGAGGACTTGTTCATATATTAGGGCAATTCCCAGCTTCCACTGTGCCAACACTCCCTCCAGTATTTGCAAATCCAAATGTAAATTGTTACAATAAGAATCTTTACTGAATCTCTTAATGTGCAGTGGTTTATGCCCAATATCTACCATGTAAATCATTGTTACACGTAAAAAAAATTAATCCCGACAGACTCTGCGTCATTCTTGCGTTACTGAGAATCTACTAATGGGTTGTTGTGAAGGATTATATATATTATTTTTTTAGCATTAGCCAAATTGCAAACATACATGTAATGGCTGGGAAAGGGAAGCACTCATTTAACCTTGCATATGTTGATTGGAATGCTGCTGAAATAACCAAATAGTATAGGCAAAGGAATCACAGCAACACTACAGATTTTTTAAAAGTTGCATGAAGCTACCTATCTCATATGACAAAGTTCATCACATTATTTAACTATACATGTTTTATGGCTTACTTATTTGCAAATTATATGTATTTATTTTCTTTTTAGAAATGTGTGCCTGTGGGATACGCTGATATCATCCAGTAACAGTCTCGTTCATGGTAAGCTGCCTGCTTTTATATAAATCTCAATAAAAATTTCAAAAGCGCATATTGTGTTGATGTGAACATTCGATTATCATAACATGCAGACCTCAGGAAGTACTAGAATACTTGCATACAGGTGCAGTATGTTACATATTCACTTTTCATTATTTACAGCAGAGCAGACTTAAATAGTTGTACACAGTTGTTAGATATTTATTGGGATAACCTCAAATAGAAGGTTTTGTATATATACGAGAAGAGTTGTGTGTTTAATAGCAAATGTGTGGGTTTAACTATTACGCTTACCTTGGAAAAATATTATTTTATCCCCATTTTTTTTATAAGCCGAGGAATAAATTTGTTAGCTGGTCACTAATTGCATCTTTTTTTTCCAAAGTGTCCAAATGTTGTGTGAGTGATTGGGATATTCACCATTCACATTCTAGAAATTGTGTGAGTAACCTAAATTGTGATCCACTTAACTCATTGAGAAAGAGGTGCTGCAATTTAACCTAGAACAATAACATGTTACCAAGCCATAAATTCGAATGTTAAAGAAGTGACTAATACATTGCACAGTAACCGTTTTTGACAGTCTTATTTACACTAATGTGTTTCTGTTCTGTTTGATCTAGCTTTCAATTGCCATGAAAATGGTGCCACAGTCCTGCAGTATGCACCGAAGCAGCAGCTCTTGATCACTGGTGGCAGAAAAGGAAGTATTTGCATCTTTGACATAAGACAGAGACAGACCCTTCACACGTTCCAGGCTCACGATTCAGCCGTAAAGGCCTTGGCTCTAGACGCATCTGAAGATTATTTTGTTACTGGCTCAGCTGAAGGTAACATGAAGGTAAGGCACAATATGCATCTAACAACATATTCAAATATAAGTAGCTAACATTTAGGGGGAAAAAGTTATTAAAAGTTGGGTTTTCCATACGCTGTTGAACTTCATTTCCTAGGCTTCTGGGAAGCTGTAGAACACCCCTGCTATTTGTGAATAAATTCAGAATTGCGATCATTAGACAGCAGAAATGTAAATTGATTTGTTTGTTTTGATTTCTAATTTAGGTATGGAAGCTGACAGGACACGGTTTAATTCATTCGTTTAAAAACGAGCATGCAAAGCAGTCCATATTTCGGAATATTGGTGCTGGTGTCATGCAGATTGAAGTAGGCGAAAACAAGCGCATCTTCTCCTGTGGAGCAGATGGTACTCTGAAGATGAGGATGTTGCCCGCTGCCTTCAAGATGCAGTCGTGCATTTTCGATATTCTTTAAAGATTTATATTTTGGAACATTTTCTGCTTCCAAACATTGATCTGCTGCTGCATAATGCGTAGTGAAGAAATAGTCTTTCTCTACAGTTGACAGAGTTAGAGGGTGTTCTAGAATGATGTAATGAGGATAATGGATGAGGATTTTTTTTAAAGCTAGATTACTGTTGTTGAATGGGTGTGGATATGCATGTGTGTTACTTTAAGAAGGCATATGCAGAGGCCAGTAAAGGAGAGGGTGATGGTCACGGCTGCTTTCTCTTATAGTGTCCATACAGACTGAACCTTTTCAATGATGGCTAGAATTTAAGGATCACTGTTACTACTCAAGATGTTTTATTACATAGTTTAAAGCTGGTCAAACTATCTACTTTACTATACGGAGAATGGTCAATGAGGCATGGACATTGGTGCTAACAATGATGTTTTAGTGGTTTGACAGTTTACAGGCATGTGTCATTTGTTCCCTATTATGTGAAAGGAAACCATCCATATGTTGATCCTAAGAGCACTACAGAGCCATGCACCAAGTAATTGGGGGAATGATGCTAATCTTTCAATGATTAGTCATTCAGAGGACTGTTGCGATTATTGATTGTTGAATCAGGAGGTGTGATATTCTTTTAATGGTTTACAGATTATAGACACTTTCGCTTCCAGTTTTGACACTTGTGTTCTTTAAAAAGAAAAAAAAGCATGTCTGTATTTTACTTGTACAAAATTAATAATGCATTTGTGTACTGTCACTTTAAACTACCAAACCAAGAACTTTTGCAACCAAAATGTATCCAAACGGAGAATCTCTAATCCCTCTGTTGTTTTTGGATAGTGATTTTTCTTGGTGGCTATGTTTTTTTTGTTTTGATTTTATTTTATTTTTATTTTTTTAATTTATTTTTTTTAAGTAGTTTTGTTTTTATTTAGTATGACCTTGTAATTTGCACAACATTTAATTGCAGTGTTTACGTTGTACTGTTCATTGCACATTACCTCGCATTCATTTGACTATTCTCAAGTTACATCATTTCATGAATTTAAACTTAGAAATCTTGAGTGTTGTGAGCGCAGGCCCAACTTACCTGCAGTCATGTTTATGTTTTTAAATGCATTTTTGAGATATTTTGTGTGCATAATTTATTTTAGCCTCCCCTACCTAATGCCTATTCGTCACTGAAAAAATGACGGACAAGAATCTATATGAAGATAGTTAAGTAGACTCTAAAGCAACACATTTTAATATGAATGTCAGGCTTTTTGTGGCCAGATAGTAAATAGTTGAAACCAGATACAATTAAATTTAAAAAAGCATATGTATAAACTATGCAGAGTTCAATATTGTTTGCTTGTAATATACTAGGAAGTGTTGTCATTTTTGATGTACCGTTGTAAACAAAGACACTCTTAATAAGCTATTAAAACTCATGTCTGTGTAATTGTCATCCATCAAGTTGTCTCATTTTCAATGCAAAATTCAGTGTGTGTGTTGTAATGTAAATTATAATTTCATGCACATTTATCTTGTAACTTTACCTTCTCTAAAGATGTTTTAAAAGTATAAAGGTATGTATAGAGAAGAGCGAGTCATTTGTCAGACCTTTGTAAAATGAATAAAGCCCTTTTATTTCACGGAAACCATGCCTGTCTTGTTTATGTCCGTTTTGTATGAGAACTTGACAGTACTAATATAATCTAAAACATTCACTACAAACATAGTGGGAGAGATCTGTGAAAGTGTTGGGATCTGAAAAATGGTGCGAAGTACTAAATGTAGAGCAATCACCACGAAAACCAGTAAACATTTGAGACACTTCCTGTTTATATTTCCTACAGTTTATTCAAAGTGAACTATTGAAAATGTAATCGGTGAAAATAGTTTTTGGAAAGGTTTTTTTTTTTGTTTTTTTTTGTGTGTGTGTTTTTCATAGTCTCAATTTAGGCAGATGACAGTATATCCAATAAGCTGTCAGATATAGGTTTGTATCAATACCATCAAAAGAAAAGAGAAAGAAGTGTAAAAAAAAAAAAAAAAAAAGAGGATGGGAATCTTTGGTCCAGGGGGAACTTAAATCTATGAGGAAAAGTAAGATTCAGAAGACATCGGGCATCATTGTGATAAGCACTTTTAGGCCATGGGGCTCTAGGTCTTACAGTATTCATTTTAGCTGTTAAGTCATTTATTAAATTTGCATTCTCTAATTCTGTGAAGGACTAAATGAATTGGAATATATATATAATAAAATATATATATATATATATATTTTTCTTTTATTATTTTATTATATTTTTTTATAACTGAAAGCAACCAGCTAACTTTGCAACTGTGATAAAATGAAGACTGTATTTGCTTAGTGGGTTTTATGAGATATATGGTTATGCAAATAATTTTGAAAACACAGGGACCTTTAACTGTAAGATGTCAGTGCAGGTCATTGAATGGAAAAATATGAAGTGCAGGAATGCAGATAAGCATGATTTACCAGTACTATTTCCAATGGCAGATAGGTACATAAAAAAAAAAAGATAAAATTATATAAATGGTATTTTGGAATATTTTTTCTGGACCACTTTTGGACATCTTCACAAGGCAAAAATTGCAACTAGCCAGTATGTGTTTCATCCAACAAAGTGCATTACAAATTAAGAGTAAAATTATCCCTGAATATAAATGCTTCAAAACTCCGGCATCTGTAACACGCAATCTCAATATTCTTGGAGATCAGGACGTGGGCAACAGAGAATATGACTGTGTCTGTTACTTGAGAAATTTTTTTGTGTGTCTGTGTATTACTCAGTGGGTTATATTTTTGTAATAAAGTTCCTTTATTGTAGTTACTGTATTCAGTCATGCTAAATATATATCGTCCACTGGAATTATTTTGTCAATATATGCAACATTTTCCTAATTTAAATGTGCTACAGTGCTAGTCAGAAATCCCTGAAAACATGCATCCATCTACCTAAATCATTATTCATTTATAATTGCATATATCGTATATGTATACAAACTTATTTATAATTGCGCTGTATATGTCTCATATTTTATGCGCTTCCCAGCACATACTTGAAATCTCGATTTATTTATCCTTCCTGTTAAAACATGTTAGAATAAATCAGTTATTTCTTGTTTAAAGGATAACTCTTGCCCCATAAAACTTCATCTCAGTGTTGACTTTTATTTTGACCTTCAATGTGAATTCCAACTCAATTTCAAATGTAATTCTCAGTTTAGTGAATAACTCCCAACAGTTACTAAACTAGATAATGTTTGACACAGAGCGGTAGTGTAACCTTGGAACTCTAATAGCAGTAAACATTGGAAAATAATAAAATCTACATGGCCATACCTTTTTTTGGAAGTCTTGTGAATAATCTACACGTCAGAGTTGTATTGTAAATCATTTCAGCCCAGTTGGAAGCAATATCGGTCCCTAGTTTTCTATATTGAATACCACTTGTGCGATAGACCTACCTTTCCAATGCAAATGTCTGGCATTTTTTTAAAGGATTGAAGACAACCAATGTACACTTTGACTTTTTGATGTGATTTTTTTTTATATTTTTTTACATTGATAAATATTTTTAAGGGAACGTCAATAGAAACCCACTTGCCAAAATCAAACTATAGAAATATGATTTTGATTTAGTACAAGAATTTACAGGTATAAACATGGCACTTTGATACAAGAAGATTACTTTATACTAGACAATAAATAGCTCATTATTATACATTCAATTTACTTAAAGGGGCAAGTAAAGAAAACCCTTTTTTTTTTTTTTTGTCACTCTGAAAGTCACTTAACACTAGATAAGAATCTACAAAAACTATTTTTCATAACTGCAGAAAGTAAAAACTCCCTTTCATACTAGTATAATGCCTGATGATCTGCGTGTGCCAAACATGACTTCTAAATGTTCATCATTCATTCTCTCGAAAGTTAATGTGATATACTATTAATTTATGGCAGACTTGGCAGTAGTTATGAAGAACAGGGTATACTTTTCAGCTTCCTGATTTAAAAAAAAAAAAAAACAACCACCACAAAAACACTTGAACCCTTAAAGCATTGCTTTTTGGTTTGGTGTTCTTCAGAAGAGTACACTGTTTGTACTGTCAAATATATGAAACCTCATTATTCACTTGAATGCACAAAATGCAGAGTGGTTTATGGGAAATGTACATTTGACCAGATTCAAACAAGATCTCTCACTTGCTTTTTGGAAGATAGAAAATTAATTAGTTAAATTGGACTTTTATTTTGTCTTTTATTTATTTTTATTTTTTTGAGGAAAAATTGATCTTGTTTTTTGCTCTGTCGGATTCATAGTTGTTGCCATGGTGTCTGGAGTATCCCCCTTAAATTTTACAACAGTTTTCTGTGTTTAGCAAAACAGTATTCACATTTATTTCTGTTCTAATGTTAAATGTTTTAGCAAACATTTTTCTTAGCTTGTGAATGTTGTAGACATGTCAGAAAACAGCACATTTTGTTTTATCTACTCAATATAAAAAGGTTTTCATGTTTACTGCCCTTTTAAGCAGATTTGGTAGGTCATCGGTTTGTAATTGAAAATGTACAATATTTTATGTTTTAGACATAAAGTTCACAGGATACAACAATAAATTTCCTTCTTCCCATGCATACAAATGCTTATCTTTAGCATTATAGGAAAGCATAGACAGAACTGATGTTGATGACCTCATGTCAAAGCTAGCTTCTACTTGTTTACCTTTTAAGAGGTCAAACGCAAATGTCACCCGTAAATCTTTTGTATCAGTAACATAAAGAATTCCACATATAATAAATGCATTTCCTGCTTTTGTTTTTGGGTATGTTGTGTTAATGTGTTGGGTGATGGAGAATGTTTTTTCATCCAAGTGAGCTACCATTATGGTTTTGTCCGCTTCAGAGGAGTAGATGATCCAAAGATCTTTTTCATCTGCTGCTACATGGAAGTAGGACTTTGAGTTTGAAAATAGGTAGCTACGATTGTGATAAGCTGCATTCTTAATGCTCAGCACTTGAAAAGATTCTGTTTCAAGTTCATACCTAGGGTAAAAAAAATGAAAATTCTAAATAAATGAAAGCGTAGATTACACAGTAATAGCTGATACCTTTTAGACTTTTTACTATGAGAAGGCTGGCAAGGAAGCAGGGGAGCAATGCTCCCTACAAAGAATAATTAAGAAGCCATATGGCCCAGGCAGGTTGCCAGTTTGGGACATCCAGTGCCCCATCTAACCTTTTGGCACAAGGCGACCATCTAAAGTCACCTTATAGTCAATCATGCTCGAAATCCTATGTCTGGAATATAGGGTTTGTTGCTTGCATACTTGAAGAACCATTATTCTGCTGACTCAAAGCAACTGGAGATATGTTGGGATGCCTGTTAGCAGAGTACCGCATGTCTGGGACGCAAGGCAGGATTTGTGCAAGGGTGATGACCCATAATCGCAGGTCTCTTTTGGGCTATACTGTCCCACTGGGATGTTTCCAGAGTGACTGCAGTAAGTGAGTAAGAGCAATAAAAACCCTGCATAACTAACTGTAAGACACGGAATGCCGCTTCAAATAGAAACATAGAATGTGATGGCAGATAAGAACCATTCGGGCCATCTAGTCTGCCCAATTTTCTAAATACTTTCATTAGTCCCTGAGTCACCCTCATTAATTATTGAATCAGCATGTAATCACTAGACACACCAACAGACCAGGTTTTGAACTTCTCCCCATTGTAATAGAATTAAGAAATGACTAAATCCTGGAATGTTGGTGGGCATTGAAGGCTGGGTTGGGAAGTTCTGTTATAGGGAGCTATTGCTTTAGGTTTGATGAAAAATTAGCACTGACATTCTGTGGTTGACTGGACTGTACCTCTCTTCATAGAAAGCAATCGTGTCAATACTGGGAAAAGGTGTCTAATAAATCTGAATGACTGAACTTTTAATAAATGGGATCAACTCCTCTCCTTTTAATCTAATGAGCACCCCAACCTGTTCACCAAACGTCAATGTCTTCAGCATAGAGAGCCAAATGGCTTTAGTCCTCAACTAGTCATAATATAATGCCTTGCATAAGCATTCTGCCTCTTGGACATTTATACATTTTATGATAGGGCTACAACCTGGAATTAAAATGGATGTTATTGAGGTTTTATCATTTTCAAACCTTGAAGTTGCAAAATAATTTTATTGTGATATAATTATCTTTAATGAACAGTTTGTTGGTTGCAAATTTGTTCACCCCGTTGCTACGGCACACCAAAATATGTTCTGTGATTACCAATTGCATTCAGAAATAATATAATTAATTAAATGGAGTGTCACATGTCAAAATAAATACATCGCTGGGGGAGGAGCGTGGACAGAGCTGAGCCAGCGCCCAGGGACATTAGCACTAGACCCAGGTAAGTGACAGAAGAGTATCTGGAACTTCCATTCTCTCTTGACAGAATGTCCAAACTTGGCCAATGTTGGGCATCCCTAGTTTAATCTAAAATATTCTCCTTGTATATCTGTCAGGAAAGCAGTGAGAGATTAATTGATGTCCCACTCACAACAGACACAAGTACATTTCATATTAACAGATGTTTTTGTCAGTAAACACATCTGTGTACCATATCAAATATACTTTTGTAAAGTAATTATATCCTGAAGACTCTACCAGAGAGACTTACCCTGTACAAGTATAATTAATATGCAATATCATACCTTATATTAACCCCTTAATAGGGGAGGGGGAGGCCTTGGCAAGGGGCAAGCTATAGTGCCAGGAAAACAAGTCTGTTTTCCTGGCACTATAGTTTCCCTTTAATCAATAAAACATAAAAAATGGGAAAGGTTGTAAAGTTTTTAAAATGGTTAAATAACTTTACTATTGATTTTGTTTGCTAGGTAAATAGCGGAGTTTGAGCATTTTTACAATCCAGCTGCTTTGGTATAGAATGTACGATTCTTGGTTTAGTTAACACCCCATGAATTTGTACGATACATTTTACCTTACCTGGTGTGAACACTCACTGGCTGTTATGCATGTCGAGAAAAGTTTTTAAAAAATCGTCATGGAAACCAATAGAATGTTGAGTTATCCATTTTTCGAACTATATCCCAAATCACTCTTTATATATAACCTCCTATTATTAAGCTGTAAACATTTTCAGCATTTTTCTAAACCTGGGTCCATGTCCCATCTGTTCCAGTTCTAAAAGAAGTTACAAAGCTTTTAACAAGAGCAGCCAATCCGGTTAAGTGCATCCTGGAATATAGTGTCTTATCAGGAAAAGATAGAGAATATATGTTTTTTTTTTTTTTGTTTTTTTTTTTAATTTTATTTTATTAGTACAATATGTGAAGTGATAGATGGTTAATGCTCTGCTTATTACTGAATTTTCCACTTTATGCAACCCACTCATCTTCCCACTCATATCTACCTTAATGATAAGCTTCTAAATATGTAAAAGTATTGTGTAAGCTTCAATTATATGTAATTATGTGTAGTATTTGTGACAGAAAAAAAAATCAAATATTACATTTCACATGGCGTTTATAATATTGTACATTTGAAGTTAATTATATTTTTATCACGTAAATGTTATAATTAAAACAGTTTGGGCAACTCATTTTCATCCTGTTTTTTTTTTTTTTCAGTAAAAAAATAATAATAATTACCTAACAATTGTATCAGATCCTCCTTTGTGGTAATATAGTGATTTATTATAAACTATATGTCCGCATCCATGATAGAACCAACGCAGTTTAATGGACTTGTAATTATCATTCAGAAGCTCTGTCAAATTTTCATATTGTTTCAGAATAAGACCTGTTGAGAGATACATAGCAAATAGTTCATTCAAAAGCTGAAATGGGAGAAAAAAAATCCCAAATGAAGCATATAAAATGGAACATTGATATTTAATAAACTTAAATCCTGGTTGGAAAAACCTTGTGACTAATTGTTGGTGTTTATTCACTGCAAATCGGTGAGAATTGAGAAGGAGATTGCATGTTTTAGGGCAAATAAAGCTGGAGTTTGTCTTTTGGAATTCCATTATCGTTAAACCATTAAAAAATGTTGTATCAGAAAAGAAATCTCTTTTATAATGTATTTTTCAGCTTTCATTGTTTAATCAAGTGACGTGACCTTGTATATAGCTGCTAGCTGTCTAGGCATAATGATTTGGTAAGGATTATAGAAAGGTATGATATTGCATATTAATTTATACTTGTACAGGGTAAGTCTCTCTGGTAGAGTCTTCAGGATATAATTGCTTTACAAAAGTATATTTGATATGGTACACAGATGTGTTTACTGACAAATACATCTGTTAATATGAAATGTACTTGTGTCTGTTGTGAGTGGGACATCAATTAATCTCTCACTGCTTTCCTGACAGATATACAAGGAGAATATTTTAGATTAACCTAGGGATGCCCAACGTTGGCCAAGTTTGGACATTCTGTCAAGAGAGAATGGAAGTTTCAGATACTCTACTAGTTGAGCATCCAGCTGAAGTAGAATGTGGTCATGCAGGTGACAATGACCTAATTTACAGTTCGCCAGTAGATTACTGGTTTTTCTGGAACTGAATGTTCTGACATACCGTCTGGCATTTATCAAAGCCATCACATCCCAAACTTCACAAACCTTTTTTTTTTTTTTCTTGCCAGAAATGTACATTTTCAAATGTGATTGCATTAAAACTGTTTATAAACCATGATTTAATAATTTATAATGCAAATGTAATGTAAGGTAAGACGACAGAACAATATAGGTTAAAGAGAAAAAAATTGAGCCTATGGTTTTTTTTTTTTTTTTTTTAATTATAGGTTTGAGGGGGTTATTGATCACAGCTTGATGGTTACAGAGAGCCAAGTGTATTGATCTAGCTAGTCAGTGAAAGGTGTATATAGACTACTGCAGTGGTGTTGATGTGAGAAGTACCCTGGACCTGTTCCCTGCTAACGGGACAAACTGTTTTGCAATATTCTGCCCTCTTACCTTGGTCTCTCTCAGGTGATCTGGCTTCTTCAGAGCTACCAAAGCTGTATGCCAATCCCATAGGTCATTCATTGGCTGATAATGACAGATGGGTGGTCTCAGCCAATTAATGACTTTTTGTGCATTGCAATATTCACAGAATTGGCAGCATCCTTAAATATCTTTGTATGTGAAGCATTTCATACTCAAACTGTACACACACATAGTCCAAGCAGCATGATTACTTCAAGTAATTCCCTCGCATCTCATCTGTACTCTGTCTTCTTCTCTTTCTCCACCTCTCACTAAAATTCTCAATCTCTCTCTCTCCTCTGGTATATTTCCATTACCCTTCAAACATGCAACTGTAACCCCAATTCTAAAGAAGCCCAATCTTGACCCTATCTCCCCATCCAACTATCGTCCTATCTCGCTACTGCCTTTTGCATCCAAGATCCTTGAAACAATTGTGTATGTGAGATTGACAGACTTCCTCGAGTCCAACTCTGCTAGACCCGCTTCAGTCTGGTTTCCGCGCTAAGCACTCTGTGGAAACTGCACTGACCAAAGTATCCAATGATCTACTCGCTGCAAAATCTCGTGGTCACTACTCTATCCTAATTCTCCTTGCCCTGTCTGCGGCTTTTGACACTGTTGATCATCAACAGCTTCTTCTCATCCTCCGCAATATTGGTCTACAAGATATTGCTCTCTCCTGGTGCTCCTCCTACCTCTCCCAGCGCTCTTTCAGTGTTTCTTTCTCCGGCTCTGCTTCTTCTCCCCAACTCCTCTCTGTTGGTGTCCCCCAAGGTTCAGTCCTTGGTCCCCTATTGTTCTCCATCTATACTGCCTCCCTTGGTAAACTCATTAGCTCCTTTGGTTTCCAATATCATTTCTATGCAGATGACACGCAAATCTACCTGTCCTCTCCTGATCTCTCCCCGTCCCTCTTGGCTAGTGTCTCTGACTGCCTCTCTGCTGTTTCTAACTGGATGGCTGCCCACTTCCTTAAACTAAACTTGACCAAAACTGAAATTCTGGTCTTTCCTCCCTCAAGTGTTGTTACTCCTGTGTCTGTCTCCCTCCAAGTCAACAGTGCTACCATCAGCTCCACCACGCAGGCTCGCTGCCTAGGTGTTCTTTTTGACTCCGACCTCTCCTTCAAGCCTCATGTTCAATCTATCGCCAAATCCTGTAATTTCCATCTCAAAAATATTGCGCGCATCCGCCCCTACTTAACGCCAGATGCTACTAAGGTGTTGGTCCATTCCACTGTCCTTTCTCGCCTTGACTACTGTAATCCGCTTCTCAGTGGTCTTACGTGCTCCCAACTTGCGCCGTTACAGTCCATAATGAATGCGGCGGCGAGGCTCATCTTCCTGTCCGCCCGCATCTCCCATGCCTCACCCTTTTGTTAGTCCCTACATTGGCTTCCTATAAAATATAGAGCTCAATTTAAAATTCTGGTTCTTGCTTTCAAATCTCTACATAATGCTGCTTCCACCTATCTATCCTCCCTTATACACAAGTATGTCCCATCTAGGTCTTACGATCTGCTGAAGACTTACGTCTATCTTCTGTCCGTACTCCCACCTCTGATGCTCGCCTTCAAGATTTCTCAAGGGCTGCACCATTCCTGTCGAACTCGCTTCCCTTCTCTGTTAGATGCTCAACCAGTCTCCACTCCTTCAAAAAAATCGTTAAAAACCCACTTCTTCATAAAAGCGTATCAATTAAACTGTTAATAGCTCCTGACTGATTCCTCTTCTGCAACTGTCACTAGTCTAATAATATCCTTACCTTTTTGTGTCATTTTACCCCACTCCCCCTAGCATGTAAGCTCATTGAGCAGGGCCCTCAACCCCTCTGTTCCTGTGTGTCCAACTTGTCTGGTTACAACTACATGTCTGTTCGTCCACCCATTGTAAAGCGCTGCGGAATTTGACGACGCTCCTTAAATATCATAATAATAATAATAATAAGTAACCCTGCTACATTACATTACTAGAAAAACAAATGTTGCATGGTTTATTGTGAAATCGAACAACTCAAAGACCTCAGCTATGAATCTGTAATCAATACTATTAAGAAATGCACACAAACATATTCTTATTATTATTGTGTAGGGACACTGTTTGCCTTTCCTTAAGGTGTTTATTCTGCTCATGCCACACAGTTAGGACTATGTTGTGTATTGTTTATATGTATTAAAAGCATGAACAAGTCCTTTGAGTGTTGAAACCACTACGTTTTCAATGGTAAGGTTCTGATAACTTCTCTTCGACTGAGTTGTGATCGCCAAAACTTGTGATCTTAACAAAACAAAAGAGTACAATCTTATTGATCCAATAATGCTAAAAGTGATAGTTTCATAACAATGGGATGTTTATTTCTCACTAACAACTGTTACCATGATGATATGTATAAGATATGAAATTGTGATTTCTCCACAAAACTCCAGAAAGCACATCTCTAGATAGGCTCTAAGCTATTCAACAGACAACATCTTAATGTTTTTAACTTAGATTACTATGCAAATGTCTGTTTTACACCACTTCATTATCTCATAAGAAAACGTCAGAATATCTCAATCTATTGGGCTATAAATTCAACAGCACGTTACCTGAAAAATGCCCGGCAATCCAAATCCTATCATCACTCCTGTTTGAAGAGTCCATCATCCATGCTCCAAATGTATCTTTCACTTTGGCAATGTGAGTTGGATTATCTATTGCTTTTATAGTGCAGTCTAGAAGTGAAGAGAACTTATGTCAACTCAACATGTATCTTCTCAAATATCTTAGACATGCATCAGTCGGTATTTTTACCTCCTTGTTTCAAAGGCTGTGCGTTGTTTTTCTCATTTGATTTTCCAACCATGGTGTCATCATTTGCTACTGTACACAGCTCACCTAAAATGTGGTAAAAATCATTTGTAAATAAAATTATTTGTTGACCAAATCAATAATGACCTAGTTAGCATGGTATGACTATTGAGCATTTGTTGCCATCTATACCATATACAAATACTTTAAAATGTCTAACAAATTTAAAAATGGCCATTTGATGTTTTTAACCATAAGTTAATTTGGCGAGTTTAAATAGAGGTTGCGTTGTGGTAAATAAAGGCCTAGAGCAATATTTAGGAGGTCCTGGTGACTTTTTATTTTGCTTGCGGTAATGCCTGGAGATTTAGAAAATTCAATTTTAAACCAGTACATGATGCCCAGGATTGTAGACTCAAGAATATCTGTTAATTCAGGGTTGGTAGTACTTGCTATGTAATGGTCAAACACCCTCCTTTTAAATAATGCTTGTTTATTGAATTTAACCTTTATTTGAGATTTAATACCCCGTAAAACAGTATTGTGTAAGCTGTATTTGTTTAGTGAACTATAGGTTATAGTGAATATCAAGGTAGGAAATGTTTAATAGGTGGCTCTAATTTTTCCATATATTAGAAAATGATTAATAAATAGATTATTATATATTATTATAATCATAAGAAATGTGCACCAGCCCTATCCCATGTGTTTTCTGCACAAATATTTAGATATTAGGATGCCGGGAAATGATTGTACCATTATAAGCCTATTATACTTACAAATGTAAAAATATATTATAGAATATATGCCAGGGTAATATTTATTTTTTAATTTAATTTCTGTTTCATTCATAGAGAACACAATTACTCATTTATACTTTTACTTTGCCTTTATATATATATATATATATATATATATATATATATATTATTTTTTTATTATTTTTTATTGCTTTTTATTTTATTTTAGATTTATTTTCACAATTTTATTCACTGGTATAAGTCTTGTTATGGTTAGCTGTACTCTGAGCAATGCAATGAAAAAAATAAAAAAAATGGTTTCTTTTAAGACGTTATCTGTTTGAGTGGAAGAGTCAAGGACAGTGACAGCAGCCTAACATCAATGATCTGTGTGTATTTGGGTTTAGGGAGTGTATCTTGATATCGTTCATATAAACATATACACAGTAGTAATAGTAACCCTTTGTTTGCCTACTTTGTTATATTTTGCAACAAAAACTGAGAATATGAGATCTCTGTGAAGGGGCAAAAGCTTAGAGAAACTCAATCAGTGTTCATTTTGTCAACTAACAATTTTAGTCAAATTTAGTTGACTAAAATTTTTTAGATTTAGTTGACTAAAACTAAAACAATTCAGATGACTAAAATATGATTAAAACTAAAATGGCTTTTTAGTCAAAAGACTATGACTAAAACTAAATTGCCGCCAAAATTAACACTGCAGAGAGGGACAGGGAAAGGGGCTAAAGAGACTACTGGAGATTTATTCGACTAAAATCTATTGGAAAACTAAAACAATTCAGATGACTAAAATACGACTAAAACTAAAATGACTTTTAAGTCAAAAGACTATGGCTAAAACTAAACTGAAATTTGCCGCCAAAATTAACACAAAACTCAATAGCTTGCCCTTCAGGAAGTCGTCGCTCTCAACTCAACATGGTTGCTTACTTGTGCCATTACAAAGGGAACCTATACCATTTGCATATCAGACTGATTCCACCCATAAGGGCACTCCAGAACCGAAATGCCAGAAAGATCCCTTGCATGAGAGATACAGCAAACCCAGAGGTTCGTTACAGCCTCCTTTAGGCCTTCTCAGCAAGGACACCCTTCTAAGCACTGTGAGCATGAGGTCTACATCTATATTACTGTTTTAGCTTAGTGAGAACCCAAGCAAATGCATTGCAACAAAAACGTAGAATATGAGAACTCTGAAAACTTGCCATCATTTCAGTTCTGGTCTGTGAGCAAAAGCTGTTTTGAGACCTGAGCAGAGATTTACCAAAGGGCAAGCTACTGAGTTTCTCTAAGCTTTTCTCAATTCTCAGAGTTCTCATATTCTCTGTTTTATGTTTTATTTTAAGAACCAGGTTATTCTATATGTCCGATAATTTTAATTAGCATTTTTGAATGATATAAGTTTATAACTGATAAAGGTGTGGACACTAAGATGTGATATATCTATATATATCTATGGCACTGGCTTGATTATACCAGGACATACTTGAAAACGAGAGAAATCTCAATGTATCTTTCCTGGTAAAATATTTTATAAATAAATAAAACATACTTTGAATTGTGCTAATAATTAAACAGTAGACAGTTCAATTTTTAAGAAATCCTAAAAAAGGATATACTAATAAAATCTAATCCTGTCATATGTATTCAATAAAGGAGGTGAAAATTCACACATATCACACAATCTGTCTGTTCTTTCTACAGTTCTACAGTTACATCTTTGTTTCTGTAATACATGGGATTTTCAGAATCTCAGAAACCGCTGTGTCCGCCCGTCTGTTGCCTCAAAAACCATAACGAAGCTGTCTGCTGACAAATTTCAAATATAAATTGCTGAAGGTACACTAGGACACCCTGTTTTTACCCCATTACATTATTTAGGTATATAAGTAAATTAGCTGGTAATGTGGAGGTTAAGAGATTGAAGAGCATTTGGTAATTTTTGTATAAACGTATAATTGCTGTATTTGTCTCATATACTTTGTAATCTCTTTCCGTCTCATTAGAGATTGTGATTGTCTCATTAGATTGTGATTTAGCTGAAAGCAGCACAGTGAATTGTTGAGGTGTTTTAGTGAAAGCTAAAGTTTACAGTTTGAATTTCCATATTTCAGTCTAACAGTACAAGTGCGGGTTTGAGTAATTTAGTATTATAAGAGGGGATAGTTTATGGTGTTGTGGATTTTGAATCTTTTGCAAGATTCCACTGTTACATCTATACAACCTAGACTTTTCAGAGGTGCTTCACTTTTACCATCTAGGACCTCAGGAAGGTGAAAACACTTCAGAAGGGGCCCGAACCCATGTCCAGTGCCTTATCGTTTGGACCCCTGGGGCAAACATCTTTTTATCTTATCATTGTTCATGTTACGGACACACATATACTAAAATAATAGTTTATAATAAAAATTAAATATGCACAAAATGAACAAGTTACTTACCAGTGCATTTATTTGGGTCCTGCGGGGTCTTTTGTTGCAACTTTGCTTTTTTTCTTCCTACAGGTACTTCAGGTCCCGGCGGACCAGGGGGGCCTGGTGGACCAGGGGGACCCATCTCTCCTTTCATACCTAGAATACACGGTGACTCGTTTATAAAGCAACAGGATATATAGCAATCTGTTTTCATGCTGCTAACTTGGCAAGAATTATGGCTAACACTTGTTTTAGAGCAGCCACATTTAGATATTTTTGATCTCCACCTTCTACATTTACCCCTAAGGAAATAAACATGTCAGCCTTTTCCGTTTAGGTCTCCATGCTGCCATCTCTAATCTATCTCTAAATAGGAGTATAGATTCAGTGTGAATTGAGGGTTGGAAATGTCAACTCCATAATCCAACAGCTCAAAGACCTCAGCTATGAATCTGTAATCAATACTATTAAGGAATGCACATATTATTATTTATATAGCGGCAACAAATTCTGCAGTCCTGTACAATGGGTGGACTAACAGACATGTATTTGTAACCAGACAAGTTTGACGCATAGGAACAGAGGGGTTGAGGGCCCTGCTCAATGAGCTTACATGCGAGAGGGAGTGGGGTAAAGTGGCACAAAAGGTAAGGGTAGGGTAGAAAAGTAGGTTGCTAGAATAGTATTCACTGAAGGCTTAGTGTTTTGTTTTGAGGACAGTTAATTTTTTTTACAAATTCTTTATTTTTGGTATTTTTTGTTTTTTTTCGAGAGAAGAGTTACATAATGAAAAGGGACTTTAAGGTTAAAAGTGATAGTTATACACATGAGTGGGAACATTGTACAACAGATTGTACTGGTGTTTACATACAGGTGAGCAAATTAAGACTGTACAACACTGGAAACTGGGGAACTTTGCAACTGTGAAAGTAGTACATTGGTTCTCCATAGCTCAGCGAAGTTGGGTAGGCATATTATATGTCAGAGAACAAATGTATTTTCCAGATTTCCACCCATCTCAATAGTCAGGTCTGTTAACTCAGGGGAGGGGTAGGTATCTGTGACGAAACGCCATCACTGAGTGCCATGCCTACATATGGGCCCTGTAAAAAACATGTGAAAAGGCTTGGTTTGTGTGATTTTCCTGGTTTCTTTTTGGGATTCCTATATGTGGGATGTATATTTAATAGTTTATGTTTTGTGATCTGTAACTCTAGTGCCTGGAGGATAATTGGGTTAAGCAAATGTCTCTTTTGGATATAATATTGAATCACGGGTCTCCTGTTTCTGGAAGTCTTGATTATTACCATATCAAAAGACTTCCTATCTTAGAGGCAAGCAAGACATATGGCAGATATGAGCTCACTTTCCAGGACACTGCTGTGTGACTTCCCATACCCTACAGAATAGCTTTGCTGGAGTCCAAGCTTCAAAGAGGAACTGGGGTTGTAAGCTAGGACATTCCATGCAATCAATTAACCCCATTTCAGACTCAGAGGATCATGGGAGGGATGACCATGTAATGTTGTGTTGGAAACCCAGTGGGGCTATGCATAAATGCTGTGTGTTTTAATGAAGATTGTCAGAAAGTTGTACCTCCAGAACAAGGTGTTGTCCAGTTACAGGGGGAGGGGGGGATGGGTTAACCCTGGGCTAGCTTGTCGCAGCTGGTGGAAGTTGCAGCGGGGAAAGTCCTTGTTCCCCTGTACCAGCTTGGATGTGGTCCCTGTAACAAAGGTAACCGGTTGGGTTGCCAGAGGGGTCCATTACAAGTGGTGGCAAGTAATGGGATGGCTTCCTAGCCATGGGGAAACCCACCTATGGGCAGTGGGGATATGGAGGGCCTGTACCGTCGGATAGTATCCCACTTCGACGAAAGGCTTCAGCAGAGGTTACAGGATGTTTGAGCATACCAGAATGGAGGATGGCGCTCCGGACCAATCTCTAGAAGGAAGACCTCGATGAAACACGACCATTCCCGGTGCGAGGAACTTCCGGTCACCGACCAGCGCCATTGGGAGCAACTAGAGCTGCGGATGCCGTACCTGGGAGACCAGCCCTTAGAGGAATGGGTGATAGAACTGGAGAGGCTGGTCGAGATCGAAGTGCAGTTGGATGAATCTTACCAGGCCCTGAAGTGGCATGCATGGTTGAACTGGCCTGAGGGCATTGAGGGAGAGAACTACGATGGCCCTGGTCTGCTGTGGGAGGCTTTTGAGGATATGGCGTTCGGAGACCCAGATGGTTCCTGCTTCTGGCACATCCAAAGAGCATCGAGAAGGCAGCTTCGACCTTACCAAGATAGCAGAGCTGCAGCCAGACCTGACTTTCCTGGCTACCTTGGAGTGGGAACTTGAGCGAGACTATGTTTGCCTGTATAGCTGGTCGAGTTTCGTCCGGCAGTGTGAGGTCCAGGAGTGTTCCGTCCTTCCTCCAAAGCAGCAGTGTGAGGTCCAGGGAACAGAAACAACCGGTCTCATTCCCCAGCAGCAGTGTGAAGTCCAGGGAACGGAGACAATCAGTCTTTTTCCCCAGCGGCAGTGTGAGTTATCGGGAGAGATAATCACTGGTACTGCTGGTGTAGTGGATGAGACTTCCATCACCAGTTGGGTTTCCCGACTCTTCCTGAGGCTGACCCCAGCAACCTGCTATGGTCTGGACAGCGGGTAGCAGGCGAAGCTTCGGCCGCCGCTACTCCTTCCTTAAGGATGCATCCGAGCAGAGCGCAGCCAACCTCTGCTCTCCCCTTCCCCTGGTTCCCGACCCTGGCTGTCTTGCAGGGTCTGGAACATGACTTGATGTGGAGGTGCGGGCCTCCGGGCAGAGGGAAGGCAGCCTCTGCTCACCCATGGTACACAAGCGGGGTCCTGGCAGCCGTGCAGGGTCCCAGAAACGAATAAGGTCAGAGGTGCGGGCCTGAGGGCAGTTAGACTCTGCTCAAACCTGATAATCTGGAAATTAATAATACCCCTGGTTCCAGAGCGAGGCCCTGGCAGCCGTCCAGAAGCCCAGAAACAAAACGAATTAGCCTAGGCAGGGCCCTGGGGGGGAGAAAGGGTTAATCCCTGGGCCAGCTTGTAACAGCTGCGGGAAGATGCAGCGGGGAAAGTCCTTGTAAGGACTGAGAGCTAGTTCCCCTATCGGTTCCCCTGTTCCAGCTAGGAAGCGGTCCCTGTAATGGAGGTAACCGGTCATGTTGCCTGAGGGGTCTGTTGCAGTATCTATCTCTACAGACCCATGGGTAGAGGTTGTGTTTTTGGCCCCTTTTATGTGAGAGGTGAATGGTGAGTTATCGTGGTCGTCCATAGTCACCTGTGTGTTCATGATTGGGTATCAATTGCCAATGCCAGTAGAACGAAGGGGAGAGGAAGAGGGGGTTAGGGAAAAAAGGGAAGGGGGCAATGAAGAAGGCTTCCCTGGTGACCTGCCCATGTTACTGTTCCGCAAAGAGTCTTACTATGTGAGGAGTGGGAATTCAAATAGCCAAATGTCCCATATTTTATTGAAGTGTTTTGTGATGTCGTGAACAAGTGCAGAAAGCCTCTCCATTTTTTTAGTATCATTTACTTTACGTTTCACTGTTTCTATAGAGAGAACGTCCTTATTTTTATCTTTATTTTAAGCGTAAAATGTTTTAATTATTTATTTTAATGAAAATGGTTTCATTCTGATTCTGTACGGTTCTGTGTATTTTATTATAACCAATAAACAGATACAATATTCATAAAAAAAATTAAAAAAAAGTTTTTGGTAAATTTATCCCACCTTCAATAATTACATCATTGGATGGATCTCCCTTGTCTCCTTTATCTCCCTTTTCACCCGTCATGCCTGCCATGCCATCTTTGCCAGGGGGACCAAATTCACCAGAGTCTCCCTTTTCTCCCCTCTCTCCTGGTTCTCCCTTTATTCCTGGATCTCCTGTACAATAGAGATTTTAAAGATCACATATGGGGCAATTTGTTAAAAAACAAACAAAAAAACTATATATTCAAATACTAAAATTGTAAATGGACATGGACAAACACCCTAAAATTATTTGGCATGAGACATTTTTCTAGATATATACCCACCTATAATGAGTGTAAGTTTAGGCGTAGATCTATTTTTTACTTGAACAGTTTGGCTTGGTATGTAAGAGAAAATATCTCCGTAATATCCCTAGAACTAGCAGTGCTAATCTACTTTAATAATGCTTTCTACATATTGGGAAAGGAGGAATTATTTTGCTGAAATTTAGCAAATAAATAAAATAAAGATAATAATAGACCAGATGACTAATTTCGAGCATTGTAACTTTTTCCTTATTCATGATCAGTAGTGCGCTTCTGTACCCTAACAAAGAAATAAGCATAACTTATTGGATGATTCCCCCATAATATACAATGAAAATGATTGCTATTGCAATCCCTATTTTTGGCAGTACAAATACAGTACTCATTTAACTAAAGAACATTTTTCATTAGTTTGGACCATTCAGGTTTTGTAGTCGGGCAAAAATAAACGTGGATCTAAACAGCTATTCTTCTACCACTGAGTGTTTGGAAACATCAGCTGCATGAAAATTTGTATTTTCGTGTATCATTCTTGCGATTTTGATATAGACCCGATCATTTTGGACATTTTGTTGCTATGGGAGCCTGGTACTAGTGTATGTTTCAAACAAAATTATTGTATATAAACATTTATTCCTAATGCTATCATGTCTCCTCAATATTTGGACAAGAGCCTTCCACCCAACATATAAAAAAAAGGAATAATGGTTTTTACTTCTCTTTTTTCCTGCGCTCAGACTCACTCAGTGCTGCCTCTAGCTCCTCTTCCAGCAATATCATATGGCAGGTGTTGTTTCATTGCCTTGAGACAAGAAGTACATGTGCAGCGACTGACGCAAGCATCCAATCAAATGCTTTGAACATTACAAAACCCGAGTCAATCTCAGTAATGAGTGCAGAAGCACCTACGGTAGCTGTCAGGAAGACTAGAGGTGTGTTTAGCCATGCATTCAAACCATTGACGTACCTACTAAATGCACATTATGCTTCTATCTAAGACTGTATCCATAATCTTGTAATATAATACTTAAATGTATATAAACAAGTCTAATATATATAAGACTTGTGGTGTTTTGTGTGTGGTTGATCTATAGCAGGGATAGGCAACCTTCTGCACTCCAAATATTGTGGACAACATGCTCTTACACCCATAATGCTGGCAAAGCATCATGGAAGGTGTAGTCCAAAACATCTGGAGTGCCGAAGGTTGCCTATGACTGATCTTTAGTGTATGAAAGAATATCTTTTTAAGGGGTTAAACATGATTCTGATGAATTTTCTATGGATTTGTAATATATTACCCATTTTTCCTCTCCTTCCTTTCTCTCCTTGGTCTCCTTTCAGCCCTGGTATACCAGGCAAGCCATCTGAGCCGTTATACCCTGGTAATCCATCAATCCCATCGATCCCAGGAAGCCCTATATAAATATATGAAATAAAAATATGAATACTTATGTAAAGCTGCAATCACGTCTACAGAAGATTAACTACCAGACAATGTTCTTTTCATTTTATGGAATTATGGAATCTGGTGACCCAAGAGAGTTATTAGGTACTTTGATAAATATCTCAATTAGAATTAATGTATATTCCAAAAAGGATTTTTTTTCTCCCAATGTATTTTTCTCCCTGTTCAAAACTCTTTAAATTTTCTTTAAAAAAAATGTTTTAAAGCTTTTGGCAGAGTAATCCTGCCACCTTAGCCACAGCTTCCCTTTTTTTAAGAATGTCTTCCTTAATGGAAGGTAAACAGTAACAGTGTGTCTAAGCCAATAAAAGATTGGTGTGAGCTGACCTGCCGACAGGGTTGACTAAACCCCCTTTTTCCCCACATCCAAAATGTCCTCTTCTTATATGTCTTTCAATGACTAAGGGAAATGTGGTAGATAATAAGAGGACATTGATTTGCTGTGGGGCAGAGTGATGTCAGTAGTTCAGTTTAAACAAATCTCTCATTTGTTGAGACCCAGAGTATGTCTAATAACGATGTTACTTTAGGGGATATAGCTAAGAGTTTCGGGTTACACTGCAGAAAACCGTAAATACTTTTTTTTAGGAAGAGATTTGAATGTAGGAGAAAAATACAGCATGAACATGAGGCCAAAATCTATCAAATACACTTGTTATGTTGGTGCCCAGAGTGTTCCTGGAGCTTCTGGCAAAGTTCTTGGCCAAATGTCAAAACAGAGTTAATTGTAGCTAGTCATGATAGACCAGCAATGGGATCCTTGAGTCAAATGTTATATGACATTATATAGTGCAGCTAGTCCTAAAGCAGTGATGACTAACCCTGACACTCAGATGTCCGTGAGCTATATTTCCCAAAATGCATATCTAACTTGAAGCAAAAATTGTTTATGGGATATGTAGATCACAAACAACTTGGTACTAAAATTAGCCATTTTTTAGGAAGGCTAAAAATTACAAGAAAATCTATTCCAGATCTGTGTACATTATATCATTATATATGTTCCACAGATCACCAATATATAAGGAGCAACCATATTTATATTAAATAATGTAAATAGTCTGACGTCAATTGTTTCCAGGTTAATGTCATAGTAGAAGTTAAGATTAAAGTTATGATGGGAATTGATAGGTCTTAATAAAATAACCGGCACTCTGTGGAGAAGGTGACCCCCCCTCAGGGCTCTTGATGCTCACAGCGGGCAACTCTGGACGATATCATCTGAGCAACTTACCTATCCTGAGACCCGGCTTGGGATCCTACCAATCGACATTGAGGACTTTGTGCAGAGATCATCTAAATGGCAAAGCGGTTCCCGAGGTAATCAGGCTGCAAGCTTGTATGGTCCCATGAAGCCCCGATAGCTGCGGATCACTACGAAGTCTCTGCACATATCCTGTGTCCTGCCAGTGATGGGAGTTGGCTGCTCTCTGCATGAGGACTGGGGTTGCCTCCTCTCTGACTCCTGAGTAGTAATTATCAGGGTCACGTTCACCTTTCCACTGGAATGAGAGTCTCTGTTCGGGGGCCCAGGGTTCTTTATTCACTGTGGCATGTTTTCCTCAGTTTTTATGCAAACACTAGTCATGCCACTTTGCTTAGCATACTTGCCTTTGTCACCAAACCTACTTTAACTTTGATTTGCTTTTTTGTTTTCATTTCCTTTTCTCATGCCTGCTGTCAGGAAGCAAAGTGCACGTATTATCTCTCAGTTGATTCCCTATTGACAGGTATCATACCTTGTCGTAAGCGCCTACAACCGGTCTGTTCAGCCCCGTACATGCATGTCCTACTTTCTGTCATTTAACTACCTGTCACTGACAGTATAGATTGCACAGTATCTGATCCAGTAGAAGTACCCTGACGGATAAGCGAGACTAGCCTGAAAAAACCTGTTAATTACTGTTTTTATTAAGTTCAATAGCTCTGTTAAATATAACTAAACAAAATGAACATTATTACTATAACAAAAAATGTGCAGTCCAATCTTATGCCATGACAATGTGTTGATTTAACATGCCTGCAGAGGTCTGATTTTGCTGTTGTGGCAATACATGTCAGCTTGTACTTTCGTATATGCACCAAAATTAAAGAATTACAAAAAAAAAAAAAAAGATTGCAGGAAACATAATTTAGACCACATTTACAAATGGAATCTGTGTGGAAATTGTAATGAATGTTGAAATAAAATTAGGTTTACAAGACTTAAATAATAGAATTTCATACCTGGAGGTCCAGGTGGTCCTGTAAAGAAAAAAAAATATTATTAATCTCTTTATTTATTGGTAACCATTATAGGAAAGAATAAATGCTGTTTTTGTTTAAGATTTTTTTCCCTGGTAATAAGGGATTGCGAAATATATGAAAATTTGATTTCTACCTTCCTTCACCTGGCCAATTAAGGATGGACAATAAAGAGATGTATACTTCGTGCTATGCAAAACGTTGATGTGGGCACTCTAGTGAGACATCTTAATGAAGTAATTTTGGGCCATAGATACTGCCTCTCCAATCTTTTAAATTAAAACAGTGCATTTTTAAACAACATTATTTACATTTTGTTAACGGCTCTGGACTGAAACAGATTCTCTAGAGCAGGCACAGGCAACCTTCGGCACTCGAGATGTTTTGGACTACACCTCCCATGATGCTTTGCCAGCATTATGGGTGTAATAGCATTATGGTGGATGTAGTCCACAACATCTGGAGTGCCAAAGGTTGCCAAACCCTGCTCTAGAGGCTCTGAAATGTGTGCATCTAATGCTTCTCTATCGGAAGAGACACTGGATTGGTGGTTTGTGGAGATTGCTACACATGCTCCATGTGTCCTCAGTGTTGCTCTATGAGAAGCATCTAACTGGATAAAAGTTATCTATTTTCATGACACAATGGAGGAGCATAGGGCTGCAGCAGGGAGACATTACTGGAGCTGGAATTAATGTAAATACAGGGGATAGTATTTTTGTTTTTAAACGCAACACGTCTAATAAAGAAAAAGTGTGTTATTTTAAGGCATTTAATTCACATTACATTACAGAAGTAGCAGCATATTTATGCATTAATGAGATAAAACTACTGTTAAATACTCCAGTATTCATAGCACACATCAAATATATACTCTGGTTCTTCCAGGAAACAAGGATTTTGTAGCTCATCTTTTCTCAAAGAGTGCAGTAAACCTTAAGCGGAATTTTTTGATTTAATTTTGTATGCTTGTAACAGAATAAAAGTAGGACACGCAGTAAACATTTAGACATACCTGTTAGACAAATTCCTTTTGTAGTGTTGCACAAATCTAGCATAACCCGAACCTAAACAGACAGTTGGAGAAAGGATGTGATTCTTGGAATTAATGAGAACAATCAAACTGATATTACATTATTTATATTAAGCCTTTAAGAAGATAAAATATATTTATGTTTTTTTCTTCCATTTAAAATGATTTAGCCTTTCTGTCTCAATTTGACATCGCAAAGAAATGTAATGCAAAAATCCATAAATAAAGGCTACCATAATTCACTAAATAGCAAGTTGTGTTGACTTTAGAACCAGTGTGCAAAATGTAGCCCAAAATAGCTAACACAAAGAAACTTACACCCCAGTCGATTTAGACATTTGTTTCCATCTTCACTATTTTGGCGTAACTTTAGAAGGTTGGTCCTTTTTTAAGTACTTCTATAATATATATATATAAATTATAAATTGTTTTAATTATGTTATACTTATGTTTGGCAACTCTGATAACATCATATTAATTCACAAAATGAGTTACTGTAGCTCATTTAATTAAAGTACCAAACAAAGAACCTGTTTGCGGCTCTAGGCCACAGCTCCAACATCCTAAAGGTCTTCTCATGCAATAAAATTAGTTCTATTATATTGTGTGATATTAACATATATACTCTCAATGCTCATCTTGGTTTTACATTTTTTTTCCTGCTTATCATGATGTGTGATAATAACAATCATTGCAAGAATAGAAAAAGAAAAGATGAAATATACGGAGAGGAAGCAAAAAGAATAGTAAAAAAAATTGTTTTCTTTTTCATTTTGCTTAATTTCTTTCAGATTTTTTTGTTTCGTTTTATTTTTTTGAATTATTTTATACTTCTAGCGGATGCCTGAAGTTCATTTACTTTTAATATTGTAATATTTCAATACAAGTTGTAAAGTCATATGTTATGCTAATTCATGTTCAAATATTACTCAAACAAAATTTAAAAAGTTCTATCGGTACATTTCCGTACAGAGATGCAATCATGACAACTTTAAACTACTTTTACAACATGCTACTGAAAGGAAAGTAATAGATAGACAGATAGATAAATAGACAGACAGAGAGCGATTCAACTCTAGATAAATATTTGTACTAAGAACCTTTGGATCAATACTTTGGCTTTGTTAAAAAGTTCAAAGATTTATATTCCTTTTAAAATTTTGTCCTGAATCTGAATGTAATACTGAAATGTTTCAGAGATTGTTTTTACCGGTAATTACATAAAAGTGATAAATAAGCCTCTGTTATTTCTTTTCAAATAGTTTTCATAAGATTTTCTAAATTTTACAGAAAAAAAAATAATGAATAGTAAAACATACTATTAGGGGAAGGAAAGGGAAGGGGAACGTAAAAAAAATAATGGGGGTGGGAAGGGGTGAAGGATATCCATCCATAATAACAATGAACATAATATTGCATTTACATATTATTGTGTATAGCATATCATAATAGCAGATGACAATTATAAATCATAGGATTCTTTAACACAATTTTCCCATTTATTCCAACTGTATTGAAGTTGCACAAATAAACTGGAATTTGTCTACATAAGACATTTCGTGCATTTTATTGTCCAAGACTAAATTTAAAATTTCTTTCAGTGATGGGGTATTAGGTGATTTCCAGTATCATGGCAGATAAGTAGCAGAAATTAGGATGTGGCCTATGATAATTCTATCTATTTTGGCAACAGACTCCAGTAATTGTTTAAATAATGTTAGGGTACTAATGGATGAGTCTACTTTCATAATCAGTCTATGTGTTACTTTCGTGTTGCACATGAGTACCTTTGTAACAGAAAATAACTAACTATTTTTTTCCATCTAAACCTTTTTTAGGGGTTCAATACAATACTAACTTTTAGATGTTTCAGGGGTTTCTTCTACAGGTAATTCTATGCTGCATAAAGGTTGCATCAAGATTATGACTATTAAGGCTTGTTTAAACTGTAACAGTAAGGGATATACAACAATAAGCAGAAGTACCCTTAGGCTGCTTTATTAAGTAGCATCAGCATTCTTACCGGGACCATGGTGTATGTCATCATCATAAGCATGTCTTGATTTTCAGCTCTGATAAAGTTGTCTTGATGTTGGTGACGATGACTCCTTTTGTTCCTGGAAACCTGTGGAGCAGTGTCTTCAGAGTTTGGCTTTTTTAACTCTGAAATTAGCTGACTAAGGTGGGAGGTTAACATATCTTCTTTTGATGGCCTCTGGTATGACTCCAGATCACTAAGTCTAGAAGAAATCTCTCTCCATTGCAACAGAATAAATAGAGTTCCACCTGCATTCAGTAGTGTAAATAATACAAACACCACTAAAACAACTTTAATCGCCAAGCTTGTCTTTTCTCTTTCAGAAGAAGCCAACAGGCTCACAACCTTCTGCGTCCCCATTTCAAAGTGTATAATAAAAAGATGGTAAAAATTAGCAAATCTCAATTCCTCCTTCTTTCATTCAAACAATCCACAAGGAATATAGTGTCTTCTACTTGGTACAAAGCACTTTTCATGGGCTGGGGCTGGATCCTGCTTTAAATGCCTGGGGATGCCGTGGGATGTTAGACAATAATTATACTTTTAGATCCTAATTAATGACGGGGAAGTGATGTCGAAGGCATGCATATAGGATATGCAAGGAGGGGCCTTATAGGAGAACTTGAGAACTCCCTAGTATTACTCCTGCAACACTGGTTCTGAGTTCAGAAGAAAGACTAATGCCTAAATTCCACATTTTTTATGACCTTGATAATATTTTGATTGTGCACGTTGCAAATACTTGCATGCCTGCTTTTACACGATCATCACACATAATCAGAAACAACTGTGACTTTTAACACAGTATCTTATTAATCACAATTGGATAATATCTAGTTAAGAGGGACAGTTGTGTGTTCAAAATAAGTGTTTGAACTTGTCTTGCGAGACTGAGATTTAAAAATGGTTAACTCAATTTTATAATTAATTTTCTGTAGTGAAATAGAACCGTAAAGCTGCAGAATTGCTTGTATAATTTTACCAAGATTTAAAACACAGATTAAACAGTAAACAATTATGGAATCATCAAAACACATTGTCTTTTATGTAAGGTGCTTTAGATGAACAGGTTTGCCTTTTAATGTGTGCCACCATCTGTTATTGTTCTTATCACACATGTTAAATGATCTGGAATAAAGGTATAAAAAAGTCTAAACATATTTTGCCCTAAGAGAAGGACTTGGCCATTTTGTCATAAAATGACCTACAATATACTACATACTACTACTTACCTCCAAACTCTGGCATCCAGAGAAGTGTGAGACTGGTGGGAGGGAGTTAAAGGAGGCAGGTCAAGTCTGCCAGAATTACTGGAACGGCGGCCTGGCGTGAAAGCACTCCAGGCTACCTGTCCATCATTCAGGCTAGCCCACCGAGTGGACACCCAGCAGACAGGACTGTTTCAGTGCTCCCTGCAGGCTCCTAGTGCCTTGAACATTGATTGCATGCTATGCTTGTTGGGTACAGTTCCCCATGTTCCCAAAAGCAGGACACCAGGGAACTAGGTCAGAACAAGGAAATAGGGACAGTTGGAAGGCATGCCATACCACAAAAGAACCCACAGGAAATTAAAGAAAAGTGTGACACTGTTGATATGTTGATGATAAGTGTATACTCTGTTTTATATCACAAAAGCAGTATTTGCACTTGATTGTATTAGTTCTTTCTAATGTGTGAGTGATTTTATTAGCTCGTGTTCTGTTTATATGTTTTTTATTTGGAGATCAAAATTTTTATTAAAAAAAAAAAAAAGGAGAAGAACCATTCTTCCAATAAGTGAAATAACAGTTACAGATGTATTAGGTTTTGGAAATCTGCATCCATATAGAGTGGTAAGTGTGTTGCCTTCCCTGTGCACTGAAAATGAGATCTTCCATGGTGGAGCCAACTCCAAGCCTGCATGTTGGTGGGCGTGTAAGGTGGTGGGTAATCTGAGATTCTTTTAAGAACTTTGTGAATTTTCCTCCAGAATGGACGGGTTTGTATGCATTCCCACCAAATATGGAGAAAGGTTCCCTTTGCTCTCTGGCACAGCCAACATTGATTGTCCTGTCTTGTGTCAGTTGTGTGTAGGAGGTGCGGTGTTTTGAACCATAGTGATAAGATTTTGTATGCTGATTTTTGACATTTACTGGAAATTGCACAGTGTAGCATAAGATCACACATGTTCTGCCATTGTGAGAGTGTAAAGAAAAGCCCCAGGGCATCCTCCCACCTTCCAAAGTAGTTAGGCAGAGGGTCTCTAGACTGGCATTGCGCCATGGCATACAAAAGTGAGATGGGATAGCTATGAGTATCTCCTTATTGTGCCCAGCTCTATAGTTTACTCAGCTCAACCTGTTGTATGGGTATCTCTGTAGTCTACACAGCTTTGTGTATTGTATAGGTATCTTTGTATTGTGCCCATTTCTTCGTATGATATCCCCATTTTCCCAGCTCTGTTAGTGGTATGGTTATCTCTGTATTCTACTCAGTTCTATGTATTTTATAGATATCTTTATATTGTTCCTAGCTTGTTTTACAGGATGAGCATCTCTGTATTATGCTCAGCTCTCTGTATTGTATGAGTATCTCTGTACTGTATAGGGAGGGGTATACAGTACAGAGATACTTAGAGATAGTTCTTGTACTCTGTCTTCTGTTGACTTATCCTTAAAACTTTGCTTGCAACTGTTTCACTATACTACAACTGATTTCTGACTATGGTAGAGTGTCGTACTACTCACTTTATACTACAAAAAATGCAGGCCTTCTGCACAGGCCTCCCTGACTCCCTTGTTACTTCTCTCCATAAATATCCTGGGATAACAGTTACTAGAAATCCAGCATACCTCTATTATCCTAATTATGTCAAGGTCTGGAATAGTTGTCGTCAGATATTACACAAGTGGAAATCATTATTTCTTTGTCTGGACGGAAAGGATAGCGTCATTTAAAATGTCCATCCTCCCAAAATTACTACACACACTGCCAATTACCCTGCCCCTTCCTACTTTAAATTGGTTCAGTCGGATCTAAACAAATTCGTTTGGGTAAGTCGGATACCTAGATAGGCCCAAAAGTTACTAAACGCTCCGAAAGTATCCAGTGGAATGGTGCTCCCCAGCTTCCAGATATACCATCAAGTGACAGTCCTAGCTACTGCCCCTTCACATTCTTAGCATGCCCTCTCCCCGATGGGTGCACACGGCAAAAACTACTTATAGCAGCTCACGATCTCCCTAATTTTCTGTGGTTACCGAAAAAATGTTGTCCCCGCATTGTAGTTTTCTCCTCATTTATGAAATTATTTTTATATATGTGTTATCAATATAGGGTCACATTGAGCAGCAATGACTGTTTGTCCTTAGCTACTTTGACTATGTCACTCTCCTACTACATCCCTAACTTTAACGCTAAACCTTGGTGTGATCACGGAGTCACAAACTTATATAACTTATTCCACCTTAACACTCTCTTGGATATAAATACAAAATAAGTCCTGCGCTCCCTCCCATCACTCCTGGGCGGGAGCATCAACCACAGTACACATCAGCCCCAATACATACAGTAAAAACCAAAGAAAAAGTTACCTGCGCTCTCTCCTAAATCCCTATGTATATTTAAACAAATTGAGGTCATTTAGTTACTCCAATGGCCATTGGAAGGAATGCCTGCCTGCAAACGTCAAGGCAGACCCCCCTAGGCAGATCCTACTCTGACCTTTCATCTTGCCTTGAGCTTCTGGCAAAGATATCTCTAATGAGATAGTGAGGGGTATTTTTTTTTATATACTCCCCTATATACTTATTAATCCTTAATAGGGAACACATGGGATGGGTGGCAGCATTGTTACAAAGCTGTGTGATACAAAAGGTGAATACAAATACAAAAAGATAAGTCCTGCACTCACTCCCATCACTCCTGGGTGGCAGCAATGACCACAGTACACATCAGCTCCAATACATACAGTAAAAACCAAAGGAAAAGTTACCTGCGCTCACTCCTAAATCCCTACGTATATTTAAACAAACGGAGGTCATTTAGTTACTCCAATGTGTACTGTGATTGTTGCTGCAGCCCAGGAGTGTTTCTTACAATGATGCCTCCCATCCCATGTGTTCCCTATTAAGGTTTAATAAGTATATAGGGGTGTATATAAAAATACCCCTCTCTGTCTTATTAGAGATATCTTTGCCAGAAGCTCAAGGAAGCAAGGTGAAAGGTCAATGTAGGACCCTCCTAGGGTGGTCTGCCCTGACGTTGGCAGGCGGACATTCCTTCCAATGGTCATTGGAGTAACTAAATGACCTCCATTTGTTTAAACATACATAGGGATTTAGGAGAGAGAGCAGGTAACTTTTTCTTTACTCTCTTGGATATAAAACTCTGGAGGCCAAGTATGCACTTACTCGTTCCTCACGCTACTCATATCTACTACTGCGATTGTTTCTGAAACAACATTATCATAGAAATGTTGCCGCTGCTACATTGACAGTCTGGGAACAGATGTGCTTTAACAAGTCCCTACCATCAACATGTAAACCGAGCTCCACGTTGTCACGACAAAGTGACCCCAAGATGCAAAATGCAACCCTAAATAGAGAAAACGTACTACCGGACCTTAAAATGGCCGGTATTAATGTGGAAAGAATAATCAAGGAATCAAACCAGAGATCAGAATAACGAAAAGGAATAGCCGAGTCAGGAAACCAGAAAACAGGATAAATGAGAAAACAAGCAGAGTCAGGATACCAGAAAGCAGAATAGTCCAAATACAAGCCAAGTCAAAAAAATACCAGAGAACACTATCAGGAAACTCAATAGCACTAGAGGGAAAAACAAGTGAACCACAATAGGGCACTGAATTAAAGCAAAATATGTTCTATATATATGGGAGCATCTTTTGCTTTAAAACAATGCCCCCAAATGTTAGGGGGTGTTGAATAATTAGAATTTTCGCTGTATAAAAGGGGCATGATTGGAGCGACCGGTGTCTGACATGACATGCAAAGGAGGAGTCAACAGCTGGAGTTCCCCCACGCAGGCGCGCGGGAGTAAGTGACACACGATTGTGACACACGTGCTATAGGTCACTTTCGCAACATATCACTTTCTCTAATACTAGCCTGACACGACACTGGGAATTGGATTTACATTGTGCAATTTCCCCTAAACAATGTGAATTCATAATTAACTTACCTAAGAAGTGGATTAAAATTATCTGCACATATTGAACAAAATTATTTAAAAAAATTATCACTGGTATATGGTGCCTAGCAAGCTGCTCAAATTGTATCCACCTACATCTGCACAATCTTAGCATTGCGGTCTTACTGAGGGCTCCACTTTACATGTGTGGGGTACCTGCACAAGTCTTCAATACTTTTGGAACACTGTTCATGAGAAGATTAGGCCCTTCTCACCTCAAACTTATCTCTTGCTAGACTTGCCTGTGGTTATACTCAAATTTAAGTTAAAACTAATAATGCACATAGCCCTGAAAGTGCAAGAGCCTGAAAATCAACCACGGCACTGATACTTTCCAAATTATTCTCGAAGGTAGAAATGCAGAGCTGCTGTGAGTAATGCCTCAAATCACTATTTTCTCCCTCAAAATTTGATCTAGAGACATGGGATCTGTGGGACACGTAAAGATTGGGTGCCTGATAAGTAATGTGATCAGTA